TGAACACCCCAAGGGAAATAGGGGTGAGAAATGAAAGTACAACTTACATGTCGCAGCAGTGATTCCTCTCCCAGAGCTTTCACCAACCCTTTTGTGTCCATCTGGCCAAGACGAAGGATGTAGAGCGGTCGCCCATCTTCAAAACAAACGTAAGGGTTTAGAGAGGGAAGTACTCTAGCCTTCCAGGCTATCACCCTAGTACCTTTTATAAAAGCCACATTAAATATTTGAACAGGATAAAAATCATATCCAAAGGCAACCTTATCAAAGAGATGCTGCTTTGCACTAACTCTAGTCTGCCTGATCCATGCAGAGAAAATAACATTACAGCAAAACAGAACGACTATTTACCAGCATTGAACTGCTTTGTTAATGTTTAAAATGTCAATACAACTTTCTCCAGAAGTCCCAAGTTACTTCTGAGGGCCTGTAATGCAAACTGCGCTGTAGTATCAACGTAAGGGGCAGCTTCTAACCTTTGTCTTGATAATGCCATCCTCCAGTGTAGTATTCATCTAAGAGGGCTGGGGGCCTCCATGACTGTAGGATGTAATCCACTTGGTACTGCTTTCGCCAAGACAGGGACTGGCAGAGCATTTCTCGAGCTTTGTCAATGTTGAAGTCACGAGCCCGCAGAAATCGAAGGATATGTTCGTCTTTGGGGATCTGAGAGAAGAGAAAGTCCCAGGGTCAGGACCGGTACGTTACCTGTACCACTGTTCCGAAAAGCCTGCAGACCATGCACCAGTTTTTGATCTCTTAGTATTAAGATAAAAAAAACATTAAACCTACATTCCTTTTCCCTCCCTCCTTAACTAACCCAGCTGAATGCAGCAGATGGTGCTAGGAGCACAAAGAAGCGACTGATTCATGCCCCTTTGAGAGATAAAAGCTTGATATTTATCCAAGTACTGCACACACACAGGCACAGCCTGCGAGAAGCCTTTCACTGATCCAAAGCCCCAGCAGACTCTGGGGTGGCCAAAGTTTCCCTCAGCTCGCTATCCACAAGGACAAACAAAATACTGAATGAAAGCAACAGAGCTGCAAGCCTGCCTCCCTGTAGGGCAAATTAGCAAAGGATGGAACACATCAACCAAGTTAAGCACACACTGTTTGGAGGGGGAATCACGACTTTGATTACCCACTAGCATCAATTTCAGCTCTTGTGCAGCCCTTATCTTCTGCTTTGCTGTTGACCGTGCTTCCCTTGGGGTTTTGGAAGAGGAAAGCTTTTGAGTTCTTCCACAGGCTTCCCTGCCCCATCACATCGTACTAGCTCTTGCCAAAACAAACAAATCCACTAAAACTATTATACACCCTTCTCCTCTCTCTATCACTCATCCCAGCACTTTCTATCAGTAATACTGGCACCACAGGCACAAAAGCCTTGCCAAGCCAAGCCTGTAGAATGGTTTATCTCAAGTTTCTTCCAAATCTATGTCCC